GTAGTCGAGGCAGTCGGGGGAGTTAAAGTTGAGCTTCCAGGAGGCAGCAGCGGCAGCGGCGGGCTCCTTGTAGTCCAGGCAGTCGGAGGAGTTGAAGGGCAGCCCCGTGCCGCCGTAACCCTGGTGGTGGTGGTGATGGTGATGGTGGTGGTGGTGGCCCGAGCTCTGGCTCAACGGGTGGTGGTGGTGGTGGCCGGGCACCGAGGAGGGCCCCATGGGGCTGAGCTGGTGGGGGTGGTGGTGGGAGTGCATGGGTGCCAGGTAGGAGCTGCAATCCACGCCCCCGAAGTAGGACGAGGAGGGCGGTGCGGGGTACCCCTGTCCGTACCCCCCGCCTTGGCTGTAGGACACGGGGTAGCTGGCGGAGGCGGCGGTGGCGGCGGGGCCGGCCCGCTGCATGCAGGACGCGGCGGCCGGAGGCAGCGGCTCGGGCACCGTCACCCCTGCCGGCGCCGCGCCGGGAGAGATGGAAGCGGGGCTCCAGATGGACGATGCCGGGGTGCTGAGAGATGCCGGGGCGCCCACCGGGGCTGAGGAGGCCGAGCTGGAGGAGGAAGAGGAGGCCGAGCTGGAGGCTGCTGCCGGCGGTGTGAACTGCCCGCTGCTCTCGGAGCCAGAGCTCTCCCGGGCTGGCGAGGATTTCTTCTTGGCTGGCCGGCTCTTGGCCCCGCCGCCGCTCTGCTGCTGCTGCCGGCACTTGGCACGGCGGTTCTTGAACCAGACCTGGAGGGAGAAAATGGGGTGCAGGGCAGCAAGGAGGGGTGGTGGGGTGAGCAGGGGGTCCAGAGAGCCCCAGAAGAGGCTCTCCACCCTGCGAGCACCCAACCAACCTCACCCTGACACCAGTTCTCCAAGTACCCGCACCCAGCCATCAGCGCTGCACATCCCCCGCACCCCAAAATAAAAAACCCACCCCTGTCAAAACATCCAGGCCACAACACATCCTGCCAAAAGCAGGGATGACCAGGGGCAATGGCTGAGGTGTCCCAGCTCCTGCAAAGCCCTGTCACGGTGACAAAATATGGTTTTGGGGGACAGATCTTGCGTTGGGTGCGGCCTGCATATTCCAACCCTTTGGGTATCTGGGGAGCAGTGCCCGGAGCAAGTACCTCTAGGAAGCACTCAGGTAGTGAGGCTGCTATGCTCTGGGGCAGGTGGAATGTGATAGAAGAATACTACTAAAAAAAAAGTTATCACAAGAGGATAACAAATAAAAATAAATGCCCCCTCTTTGGCCGAATGGGACAAACAAGTGGACCGGAGCCCATATGCACCCGTCTCAAGGAAACAGGGATAAGCGTGGACGGAACACTCAGTCTTAGTGGCACCAGATGAGCTGGGATGTTCCTACATCCCCCCAACCGACAGCCGTGCAGGATTCCCCCATGCGGGTCCGGTACCTGGACTCGGGATTCGGGCAGGTTGATCTTCAGGGCGACTTCCTCCCGCATGAAGATGTCGGGGTAGCGGGTCTTGGCAAAGAGAGCCTCCAGCACGTCCAACTGCGAGCGGGTGAAGGTGGTGCGTTCCCGCCGCTGCTTCCGTGGGGTGGCTGGGGGGTGAGCACGGCCACACTGGTCACACTGGATCCCCACGCACCTCCCGCACATTCCGCAGCACAGCGGGAGCCCCGGGATCCCTGGTGCAGTGGCTTGAGATAAACCCCTGCTGCTGACCCCAAATTGCAGCAGTGCCCCCACGGCTGCTGGACCCTGTCTTGCTAAGGGCAGGGCAGGGGGCACAGGTTTGGGGAAAGGTCGGGCCTGGCTCCAGAGGGAGCTACGGGGAGAGTTCGTTGTGCCGAAATAAATCTACTTTTTAAAAATTATTATTTAAAACTTTTTTATCCTTAAAAGACACCACAGGAACGAAGAAACCCCTTGAAGAGGAGAGAAATTCAGCTAGACCCCACTCTCCCCAGCCAGGAGTGCAGGCAAACGGGGGGACCCACCCCACAGCCCACCCTAAACCGTGCGGTCCCATCGGGTCCTCCAAAACAGCCCGGGACAGAACTTTTCCCCCTCCGCTTGCTGGCGGATAGTGGAACTGGGGGGGGCAGGGGGGAGGTGCGGCCCGTGGTACTCACCCGGATACCCCACGGAGGGATGCAGCAGGTCCATGGTGGGACCCGTCAGCCCCAGCCCATTCATGCCGTAAGGGGGCTGTTTGAGGTAAGACATCATGCTAAAAGCCGGGCAGTTTCTTCCAAAGTCCCGCAGAAAAAAAAAATTCAAAACCAAATCAAATGTATGGGGTGGGAAGGGGGAAAAAGAAGGGAAGAAAAAAAAAAAAAAAGCCGACAAAGACTAGCCCCGAAAAAACCCAAACAAGAGGCAAAAAAAATTAAAAAAATTAAAAGCCAACGATAATTTAAAAACGAAGCAGAAAATCAGTGCGAAAGGACTTTTTTTCGTTCCGTCCCGCCGTCAACGCCGCGAGGTCCTCGAGTGATCGCAGGTGAAGTGAGGGAAAAACAAAAAACGAAGGAGAAAAAAAATTGAAAATAACAACGAGGATCGGGAAACGGGCGGATTTCTTCCCCGCACAGAGGTGAGGCCGGAGCGCCTGGGAAGAGAGGGGAGAGAAGCGGGTGAGGCTCCGGCCGCCCCGAGTCCTGCCGGGGGGTACCCGGAGCTCCCGCAGGTCTGCGCCCACCCGGCGCGAGGACACCGGGCGGGCGGCTTCCGATTCTTAATTTTATTATTATTTTATTTAAACGAAGGCGAGTTGCGCGCAAGTGCCGAGAGGCAACAGTGCCCGGCGATCGGGAGAGATAAAGCAATTATTTAAAAAGATAATTGGATTAGGAATCAAAAGGAGGTATCAGAGGAGGGAAGTATAATTAATTTAAAAGCGAGCAGACGGGGACGTTTTAATTAGAAATGGATAAGAGTTAAAAAGCGAAAAAGGAAAAGGGAGCGCGCCGGCAGCCGAGCGGGTGACAGCGCCGGCAGCCGGGACGGGACGGCGACGGGGCCCGACCGGGGATCTCCGGCAGGGCCGGCGGGGGGGACGGACACACACACGGGACCCGGCTCGGGAGGCAGCGGCCGGGCTCGGTGGCAAAACTCTGCAGACAAACGCGAAGGGGAGGAAGGAGTGGAGAGACCCCGGGCGGTCCTCTCGAGCCCCGGGGGTGGCCCCCGCTGCCGAGGCTGAGGCAACTGTCCCCCCAGCCGGGGGTATGGCGGGCACCCCGGGTAAATTCTAGGTGGGGGTTCGTGGCACCCCCGGTAGTCCGGGGCCGGGCGCAGGTCGGGTGGCAACGCCGTGACCCGGCGTTGCATAACTTTGTCGGGGACGCGGTGGAGCCGGCCCGTCCCGGCTGGAAAGCGGTGGGGAAAAAGACGAAAATAAAAGTGAAAAAGAGAAAGAGAGGAAGGAAAGAGGAAAATCCCGAGGCAGCCCCGGCCCAGCCGCGCTCACCACCCCCGCTCGCGGTGCCGCGGGCCCGCTACGCTCCGTCCCGCCGCCCGCCCCGTCGGTGAGCGCGGTGCCCGCCGCCCCCGCCCGCCTCACCTGCGCGGCCACCTGCGGAGCGACTGAGCGACCGCCCGGCGGGGGCTGCGCGGGGCAGCGCGGGGCGGAGCGGGAGGGGGGCGCGGAGGGGGCCGGGCGGGGGGAGGAAGGAGCGGGGGGGGGCAGGCAGGTGAGAGGTGGGCTGGGGAGGGGGGCCGGGGGGGGCGCTGCCCGAAGCCGAGCCGCGCACCCCCGACTTTTCGGGGCGCCCCGCGTTTACCTGCCCGGCGGCCCGCGCTGTCGGGGCGATGGAGCCGCGGCCCTGATGAGGATTGATCACCTACCCCCGGCCCTACCCTTGTATGTGCGCGCAAAGCAACTGCGTAACCAGCCTGGCGCCAATCCCCGGCCGCTCCCCGCCTGACTGACAGCCGCCCGGGCAATGGCAGCGCGGGGCGACGGCTCCTCCGCACCGCCCCGCGCCGCTCCGCGCTCCCCCGCGCACCGACCCCGGCACCGCGGAGAGCCGACCGGCAGGGCCAGGGCTGCGGGGGGTGGGCGCGCAGTGCCCCGCACAACGTCCGCGGGGAGGACGGGCGGTGGGAATTGTTTAGAGAAGTGCCGGGAGGTTGGGGGGTCCGCTCCGCGCCCGCGCAGCTCTGTCCCCTCCCTCGGGAAGCCCCCCACGCCGCTCTGCGCCCAGCTCCGCGCCTTCCTGCGCGCCCCTGCCGCCGGAGGAGACCGCAGAAAAAGTTTCGGCCGCCGCCTTCGCCGGCGCGGAGGGCACTCCTGGGGAAGGGGAGGCGGTGTCGGGGCCCCTCCACCCCAGCGCCCGGGGCCTTTCACAAACTTTGTGTTTTAAAATCCCAATAAAACAGCAGCGACCGCACCTTTCTCCGCGTGTCCCGAGTTTAGAGGTTGCTGCGCACCGCGGGGAGGGGAACGGGGCGGGGGGGGGGGGGGGAGCTGGCGGGGCCCGCACGGGAGCGGCGGGGAAGAGGGTCGAGGTGACACGGGGCCCTCCGCGCCGCTCCGCGGGGTCCCACTCGCTGCGCGGGCCGGCGGGGTCGGGGCGCGGCGTCCGCGCAGGCGATGGAGCGGACCCGGACCTCTAAGGAAGCTCCTGTGCGCGGCTTTTGTTGGTCTCCCCAAATCAACTCCCTCTAATTGCAGTGGAGCTGAAAGCGAGCTAATGTTCAAAGGCGCTGCCCGCCGGCCCCGACCGGAGCGCGGTCTCCCGGGGGGAAGACTTCCCTCCACCCCATTTTATTTTGTTGTCGTTGGAGGTTTTTTTCCCTTCTTTTCAAATCTTTTTCCTGTGCAAGGAGGGAACCGTCTAAGCCGGGCGGGAGGGAGCCGATGAGTAGAGAGAAGGAGGTTAGCAATCTCCTCCGCTCGCCCGCAAAAGTCAGCGACACGGGCACTTCTCCCCGCAACAAAGGCGCCGCGGCCCATTCACAAAAAAGCAAAGGGAGGAGGAGGGAGGAGGAAGACTTTGCGGAGGCAGTTCTCCCCCTTCCAGCCCCTCTTCCCCGTTTTGCCCCGGTGCTGCCGGGGCAGTTCTCGGCCCGGGCTACGCTCCCTACCCCCCACACGCCCCCGCCGCCTTACCATCCCTTCGCCCCGCCGGGGCAGTTCCTGTCCTGGCCGACAGCAGGCACCCCCCGAGGCTGCCCCCCACTTCCCCCACACGCACACCAGGGGGTATCTATGCCCCTCACAAAGCCCCCCGCAACTCCCGCGGTTACCCAATCCCCAACTGCGGACGCCTCCCCCCAGGCTCGGCCGGGGGCTGCGGGAAGGGCGGGCGCGGGGCTCGCCGCCCCCCGAGGTGACGGTCCCGGCGCCTCTGACCCCCCCTCTTCGTTCCGCCGGACGGAGCCGCCGCCCTCCCCGGTGCGCCCAGGTAAGGTCGGCGGCGGGGCGGGAGCTGCGGGTGGGCAGAGGGCTGGGCTGGGCTGCGCGACCCTCGGCCCCGGCGGCAGCGAAGGGCAAGGGCAGCTCGGGCCGGCTGCAGGGCGGGGGGGGCCTTCTGCGACCGGTTTGCCGGGCTGGGGGCGAAAGACGAGGGAAACACACTTATTTTTCCCTCAACCCAGCGGCTGAGTTACTTTTTTCGCAGCAAAAGCCAGGCAAGCACCGGCCCCCTGAGGAGGGGAGGACGCCCGCCCGCGGCCCCCCTCGCCCCCGGGGGCAGCCCCCTGCTTTGGGGCTCAGCAGCTCTCGGTGCCCGGCCGGGCAGGGAGCGCCGCTGGATTTGCCGCTCTCTCCCCTCCTGAGCCTCCGCTGAGCTCCGCAGCTGCGGAGCTCTCGCAGCGTGTTTCCTCCCGTTCCCGGCCCCTGTATTTCTACGGCAGGGGCAGAGGAGCACGGCGGAGACCGCTGCCCCAGCAACCGCGGCGCCGGGGTGCTCCACGCATCTTCCCAAACTTCGCACGGGACCAAACCCACCTGAGGGCCCCAGGGCAGCACCCAGTCCCCCAGGCCGGCACGGAGCCCCCGGCACCGGCGGCTGCTCGAGCAAAACCGACCGCTTCCCTCCTCCACGGGGAAATTTTTTCGGTGTGAGAGGGAGGGCGCAGCGGGGAGCGCGCCGCGGCTCGTAGTTGTACCTGGGACCGCCGGCGATGTTGGGGTCCCTCCCGGGACTGCAGCCGTGATCCCGCGGGATTCGGGCTTCCCTCCGCCCGCTCCGCTCCCTGCGGATGCGCTCCTTACGCGCCCGGAGCCGCAGTGGGTCTTTGGCCCCGCAACCCCCACGCCGTCGGCGGTAGGCATCGGCCCCGCGGGGAAAAGTTTTACCTCCCCCTCCCCGAGTTCCGTATTATTAAAATCAAACGAAAAACTTTTTGATCTGGTGACTTTCGTTGCGCTGGGGAAGCGCTGGCGGTCGAGGGGGGCCCGGGATGCGGAGCCCCGCTGCAACCCCACCCCCGGGATAGGTCCCTTCCCGCCCCCCGCGCCCCCTCCCCGGCTCACTGCGGGCGGGAGGGATGACGTTTCCCAGGTAAAGAGGAAAGCGGCAGTTACGGTAAGAAAGATTCGGGTTTTATTGAAAACTTTATATATGATTCGGCGTTGTAATAAATAAAAGAGACGAGCTCCACGAAGGGACGTTGCGAGCGCGGGACACGCTTGGGGGCACACGGACGGGGCGGGGTGGGGGACGCGGCCGGGCGCAATAAATAACGAGGAGCGGGCGGCGCGGTCCGGCCCGCGGAGGGACGCGGGTGGGAAGTGTCGCGCTGCCCCGGGCCGGGCCAGTCTCTGCCCCCGGGCTGCCCCGCTCCGCTTGCAGCCGCTCCCAGGGTTTTGTGCCAGCTCTGGGGAAGAAGCCCCCCGAGTAAACCAGAGCAGCTCGGCGCTACTCCCGGGGAGATGTAAAACTGATGATATAAACCACTGGTAAATACAGCACATTTTTAATAATAACTGTGGTGGATCTGACCTAACTATAAAATGTAGGTAGCTTATTAAGTATTACATATGGCAGGACTAGATGAAACCATTCCCAATGATTTTTTTTTCTATATCCCCCTCTCTAATTCTATTACGACAAAAACATTTTTATTTCAAAACTCAGCCCTCCTCCAGCTACAGAAACCAGGACAGACTATTTCTTCTCCTCCTTCCGCCCATCTCCGGCATCGCCCGCACGCCAGGGGTCTCGGCGATTCCATTTCCAATGCTTTCGGCAGGAGAGCTGAGCCCACACGGAAATCATGGGACAACGCGAGTTCGCTCGAATGGAAAACAAAAAACAACGGAGTGGGGCCCGGTACAGCCTAGATCTGGCCTAA